TTCAGCCTCTCAGGTTCAAGAGATTCTCCTGCCTCAGCCTCCCAAGTAGCAGGCATTACAAGTGACAGCTACCACACCTGGCTAATTTTTGTATTTTTAGTAGAAACGGGGTTTCACTATGTTGGCCCGGATGGTCTTGAACTCCTGACCTCAAGTGTTCTGCCCACCTCAACCTCCCAAAGTGCTGGAATTACAGGCATGGGCCACTGTGCCTGGCCTCCTCACCTCTGATTTCATCCTTTTCTTCTCCCACATTTCTCTCAACCCTGAATTCTTCAATTTTCTACTTCACCACATAGTACTGGAGGTATCTTTATGGAACAAGACAGTATAAATAAGTTTAAAATATGCAAAGCACTGCAGTAGGGACTAGTGGATATCAAAGGATGAATCAGAGGCTGTCTGTCTTAATGCCCTCCAGGAGTTGGCCCTCTGGTGGGGGAGAGAGATACACATAAGGCAAACCACTCTGAGGCCAATGTTCGAGAGGAGCACGAACAAAGTACAGGACAGTGTGGAGCAGGAAGCATGACACAGACTCAGAAGCTCCATCCAGAGTAAGAAACACCCCTTTCTGGAGCTCCCTGAGCATCTCTCTATCATCGCACTTATTTTTATTTATTTACTTATTTTTTTGTGATTGCTGGAAGAATATCATTATACTTAAGATCCTATGTGGAAAAACCTGTTTATGTCCATTGCCCCTGTTAAGGTACTGAGCATGAGGGACATGGTCTTATCCATCATCTTTGTATCCCCAGGGCCTAGCCCCAAATCTGGCACAGAGTAGATGCTCAATAAATATCTGTTAAATGAATGAGAAAGCTTTTAGTAGGTACGGAAGTGACCAGGCACTCCAGGCAGAGTGACCAGCATAAAAAAGACAGAATGTCTGTACCATAAGACCAATGTCCAGGATGCAAAAATGTGAGGTCTGGTAAGAGTGCAGCTGGAAAAATCCTTAGGGCATAGAATGACACATGGAAGGCAACATCTTCACCATTTTCTGGTAAGCCCTGCGCATTCTAGTTTTGATAATGCTTTTAGGTTACACAGCATTCTTTCTACATTCAGAGAGGTTTTATTTGCTAATTGAATGACAATAACTATGGTGGCTTTACACTCACCATAGTTGTGTGTGAAGGGTCATATTTGCTATTTTACTTCTGAAAGCCTATCTGGTATTACTTACTGTTCTCGCAGGAGACAATAGTGGTGAAGATATACCTGGCCATAAAACAACCTGAACAGGCCATCCTGACTGAAAGAGCTGCTTGATGAAGGTAGACATCCATTTACCTAGCTAGAACCAGCTGGGTCATCTCTGAAGTTTAACAGTGGCAAATGTCATAAGAGGAGGCCCGCCCCTCAGATTCTGAAATCAGCCTCCCCATGTTCTGAGAGGTTAGCTGGACTTGGTAAAAGACTTATGCAAATACCAAGAAATGCACTCAGGATAACAGAGACTTTCTCTGTTCCAAGCCCTGGGTCTCTAAGAAGGAAGCCTATGATTCCTTAAGAAAAATGACAAATGACAATACTTCTGCCATCAAGAAAGAAGACACGAGAAGAGCCTAAGCCTAAGGACACATACAAAAAAGCAGGAGGCATCCTTTGATAAAAATCTGGGAAGGGTACATGCTGTTTAAATGGAACCGTGGACAGAGAAAGTTTTCAGATTCAAATTTGGCAAGACCAAGAAAATGTACTTACTAAATAACAGGAAAGTACAGATCACTTTAATGATTCATATGCTTTGCCTCCAAATAATAGCTCAACAACAATGCTAACTGAAGCTACTGCCTCTGGCTACAATGCATGATTATACTGAACACTTAATGTATGCTGTTTCAGGCTACTGAGGAAAGACAGTAGAGCGTCTATGAAATGCTCCTGTCCTGGAGGAGCTCACAATCTGCCAAGGACCTCGAGGCCATATCCACAAACTTAAACAAACAGTGTAAGGGTGTAAATGCTGAGTGACAGCAGAACTTGTGAAGATGGTAAGACTCAGATAAACAGAAATAAGATGACATAATACAAGTGGAAACACTCAGGAAAGGAGGAAAAAAAATAATACTTTTAGACAACTGGTTGTGAATGAGAAAAGTGTTTTTTTTTTGAGATGGAGTCTTAACTGTGTCACCCAGCACCCAGGGTGGAGTGCAGTGGTGCAATCTCAGCTCACTGCAACCTCTGCCTTCCAGGTGCAAACAGTTCTCCTGCCTCTGCCTCCCAAGTAGCTGGGATTACAGGCACACACCATCACAGCTGGCTAATTTTTGTATTTTCAGTAGAGACATGTTGGCCAGCCTGGTCTCAAACTCCTGACTTCAAGTGATCCGCCCGCCTCGGCCTCCCAAAGTGCTGGGATCACAGTTGTAACCCACCATGCCCAGCCCAAGTGAGGAAAGCATTAATGTCTTCCTTCCAATAAGTGTATGAGGAGGAGGGACTGGATAGATGAAGACATAAGTACAAGGATGTTTGCACTCATAAGGATGCTTACTGTTGGCAGAATTCAAAGTTTGAATTCAATGTAGGGAAAAGGTAGTATGAACACACAATTTATGGTCCAAACAAGAAGCACTTCTGAAAGTAGAAGGCAGGCTAAAACTAATTATTAATAACAGGTGGTAATTATCCAAAATAGGCACAGACTAGCACATGGCAGGGGGACCAGTACACAAGCAACAGGGAGCCACTGAATAAGTATTTCTGGATTTAGGTGATGGCAATGAGAATGGAATGATGGGGTAAATGGAGGACTTAGTACATGGCTAGATATGGTAGGGAAATGAAAAATCTAGGTGGATATTCCTTCATATAAAACATTAAATTTGGAGGGGAAGTTTTCAGGAACTTGAGTTTAAAGATGGGACAATCAAGTGGAAGTGTCCAGAGGAAAACAGAGACATGGAACTAGAGCTGAGGACAGACATTGAAAATAATATAAAGAGATTGATTAGCCGGAGGTATAAGAGCAGACAAGTAACAGCCAAAGAGATAATCCCATTATCAATTTCTCATTTAAAGTTTGATAGTTTTCATACTCCTCTTCAATTCCTTTCACTCACAATGGTTGAGCCCTCCCAATTCTCCACTTGCCCTGCCAAATCTCAAAGAGCTTATCACGCCACTCAATTAGCAAAGAAAACCTCTCTGGCATTTCTCACATTTGCAAAGAGCTTTTAGGATATATTTGCTAATAAAATCTCCCATTTTAAGTCTTATGTTTAGCACTAGACAAGATAAAAATTGGGAATATAATATCCCTCCCCACAAGTAATCTTTTTATTTTTGGCTAATGGAGTGACTCAAATATTATTAAATGATTTGATTACCTTTCTAGAGAAATTTAGTTGTTGCTTGCATCCAGCAAAGGAGGAAAAATAATACTTACATAAAACTGGTTGTGAAAATATGCAAGGGAAAAAAGTATTAATGTTTTCCTCCCAGTACATTTATGAGGAAAAATCTGGAGTAGATGAAGATACAAGTACACGGATGTTTTTTTTTTTTTTTTTTTTTGAGATGGAGTCTTGCTGTGTCTCCCAGGCTGGAGTGCAGTGGCGCGATCCCGGCTCACTGCAAGCTCCGCCTCCCGGGTTCACGCCATTCTCCCGCCTCAGCCTCCCAAGTAGCCGGAACTACAGGCGCCCGCCACCATGCCCGGCTAGTTTTTTGTATTTTTAGTAGAGACGGGGTTTCACCATGTTAGCCAGGATAGTCTCGATCTCCTGACCTCGTCATCCACCCGCCTCGGCCTCCCCAAGTGCTGGGATTACAGGCTTGAGCCACCGTGCCCGGCCTACACGGATGTTTACACTCAGGCAAGCTAGGATCACAGAGAATCCTAAGATCCCAACCTTGGCCAGCAAAGCACACTGCTTTTCCCCTAGAGTAGTCCTAGAAAGGCTGGTACAAAAACCAGTGTACTGATTAGGCTGAGCAGTGAACTGCATCTTCCACAGGTGATAAGGGGGGAAAATGGAATAAATGGCAATTTTCTGCCATTCCACACAGGGAATGTTCAGCTTCTGGTTCATGAGAAAATACAAGTACTATACAAGCCTCACAGACAGGTTCAAAAAAGCATTTGTTATAGCAGTGATTTGCCAAGTTTCATATTCTGTTGAGAATATTAAGAGCCCATATCCAAAGCTGGAAGGCTAAAGCCTGGTTAATGGGTTTAGGAAGGTACTATTCTCCACAGGGGAGGGCTTCAGAAGAGTAATTGTCCCTGTTCTCATGCCATTAGCATTACCGCATAGACTGATTTCCACTGCAGTTGAACAAATAATAGAAACTGTTCAAGCGGCCTAACACAGATAACTCACTTTAAGACTTCACATTAATACAACAAGAGAACAGATAGAATTAAGAGTATTTGGTGCTCAAAAGATATTTACTCTATACTCCCCATTTCCCTCACTGCCTTGATATTAAAAGAAAACATACAATTGAGTTGTGCACTCACTACTTTAAACTGCCTGCTTTAAGTCTGCATTAAAGAAATGCAAAGTCAGGCACTTGAGAGAACAGCTTCAGACAAATGAGAGTTTAAAGACACCAAGCAGAATGCTTGTCCTCCAGCCCTTTCCTCTGCCTCTAGATGCTAACACACACTTGCCATGGTGTAGAAAGGGCTGAGAATACCTCAAGTGTAGAAAGGGTTATGACTTTTTATAACCAAGTGAGATTTTCTGAACCTTTCAGCAACACTAACTGGGTTTATACACATCTGAGTCATGGGAAGAATCAATTTTATGACTAAGAGATTTCCTATGAATGTCAGTGGCTACTTTTGCTTCACACATACACACACATACACACGCAAAACAGAAAAATAAAAAAACCAGTTGTTAGTATCAGAGCAACCTTCTTAGCTGAAGGACTGTTCACACTAAGCCTTTATATCCCCCAAGGGGTACTAAGAACCAGCCAAGGAAGGCAAATTTCAGAAGCTTTCCCAACAAACACAATTCAGGGATAAGGGGTTCAATGTGCAAAGTCTTTTATTTAAAATTTTAAAAGTTAAGACTTACGACCACCTCAGTATATGCGATTCCTATTAGAAGGAGGTATGACGGTTTCAAACTCATGCAGAGCTGCATTTTCATTTACAAGTCTCTGTAGGCACTTTAGAAGTGAAGCTTGGCTTCAAAATACAAACACTGGGGGCTTTGGCTCAACCTTTTAATATAAAAAATTCACTGATGTACAAAAATGTGAAAGTGTGACAATGACAATTATGAAATCCTGTGACTGAAAGTCCCCTCAAGTGCACTCTGTGGTGCACATGCACCCGCCCACACAAACTCTGGCGTGGAAACATAAACTAATGCAAACCAGTGCTACCAAGAAGCACCAACACGTGTGTCCTCCATTCCACCAATCACAGACCAGTATCTACTCCAAACATCCAGTAACGAAAAGTATGGCATCTTCCCAGGAACAGCAAGGCAGGTTTCTTACTCACGATGAACCAGCACGAATAAACCCAGCAAAAAGAGCACTGCATACTAGAAAATAAACACAGAACCACATGTCAGAGAAGCGTTGAAAAGTTCAAGGGTTCTTAGAGTTAATTAATAAACTGGTCTTTGTGAATATATTACAAAACTACCCAATTATTCTTTCATCTTTTAGCTGTAATCCATTTAAAAGTTTCCAACACTAAGCAAAAGATCACATTTCTTTAAATAATTTTCTTTTTTTTTTTTTTTTGAGACAGAGTCTCACTTTGTCACCCAGGCTGGAGTGCAGCAGCAACCTCCACCTGCCATATTCAAGCAATTCTCATGCCTCAGCCTCCCCAGGAGCTGGGATTACAGGCATGTACCACCACACCTGGCTAATTTTTTTGTATTTTTAGTAAAGACAGGGTTTTGCCATATTGACCAGGCTGTTCTCGAACTCCTGACCTCAGGTGATCCGCCTGCCTCAGCCTCCCAAAGTGCTGGGATTACAGGTGTGAGCCACTACGCCCAGGCTAATACTTTTTGTTGTTGTTGTTGTTTAAATAGACACGGGGTTTCACTATGTTGCCCAGGCTGGTCATGAACTCCTGGGCTCAAGCGATCCACTCACCTTGGCCTCCCAGAATGCTGGGATTACAGGCATGAGCCACTGCACCTGGCCCAAAAGATTACATTTTTAATAAAACAAATAATACAGGCCCTTACCTTAAATTTAGGATAGTCATTCATGAGGATTGTCACAATTCCAATATAAGGAACAAATCTAAAACAAACAAAAAACTGATTATCACAGAATTTCCGATGTAAAGCAGCTGTTGTCATTCACTGAATATTATCAATATCTTCTATAGAATACTAATTTTCAATTCACAAAGTTCATTTCTATATACTGCCCTATTTGATCCTTTCAAAAGCCCAAGTGATAGTAAAGTTAAGAATATCACCATTTTAGAGATGAGGAAACAGATGATCATGCCCAAGGTACATGGCTTGTGTGTGGCAGAACCAGCACCAGATAGATCCAAGGTCTTAGATCTCCAGGTGGTGACTCTAATGCTACATGTTGATATGGTGCTAGGGGCTAGGTTTATCATCATAACCTTCAAGAAGCTGTCAATCTAGCTAGGGAGACAAAGCAAGCACAGCCAGAATATTACAAAGTACTTCATGTTAAGTAGCCAAAAAGTGAGTGTAAGAGCTCATTATTGTACTTAGGATTTCACCACCTTCTCATTTGTTAACCACCTGTAATCTGTGTTTGGTCCTATTAATCTTGAAACTTTTCTAGAACAGTTTTCATCACCATATGTAGCAAACCAGTCTCAACCCCCATATTCCTTTCCATCATGGCACCATTTGACTTTCATGACCACAAATATGCTCTGGAAATTCCTCTTTCTTGGTTTCTTAATGTACCACAAATTTGTTTCTTCACCTACCTCTTTGGTTGCTACACCTTCTTTTCACAAGCTCTTTCTAATTCCTCATGCCCCTAAAGTTTTTCTCCTCAACTAAGCAAAACCACCTGTTACATGATCTTACAACACCTGATACATTTCCTTTGAGGTCTTTATAACAATTATACTTTTATTAAATAATTAGTTGTATGACAGATTCTACACATGTCTGTCTCCCCTACTAAACTAGAAGCTCTATAAGGGCAACAATGATGCCTATCTTGTTCCCCCTGTACCCTCAAGGCCAACATAGTACCTTATACATAGGAGATATCCAGTATATCCTGCCTGATTGAATGTCTGAATATCCGGGCCTCCTCTTTTTGCTCTCTCTTGGGGAAATCCTATTTTCTCCCAGGGCTTAAATTCCTCTCCATGCAAAAGACTACTTTGACATCATAAGAATTCAGGGCAGAAAGAGAAAATTAGCAGGGTACTATCGATGTGAGTGGAAGAGGTGGTTAGCAAATGTAAAACTTTCTTCTTTATCTTCCTCTTCTATCGCTGGACTCCAGAGCGGACTGGCAATATTGTACTAAGCTAGAGCCTGTCATAGGGAGGCTGAGCTGAAGGGGAGGCTGACCTTTGCACACTTTAAAATTGCCCAGATACTTTTATTCAGGGAACACAGCACAAACAGAAATTACCTCCCACATAATATCTACACCATCAAAGCCTTAGGCAAACTTGAACACACATTTTGTTTCGGACACATTTCACTTCCCTTTAAGAACTCCCCTCCCCTCACTTCTGTCTCTTGTCCTCACCCCTCCCTGCTCCTCTCCCTTCTGGCAGGATCACTGAGACCTGTCTCTCCTGCCCCAACCCCAAACTCCCACTAGTGTTTCTTAAAGCCTAGACCTCCTCTGTCACAAACGCTTGATGGCTTGTTAAAAATGCAGATTCTTGGCTGGGCACAGTGGCTCATGCCTGTAATCCCAAAACTTTGGGAGGCTGAGGCAGGTAGATCATGAGGTCAGGAGATCAAGACCATCCTGGTCAACATGGTGAAACCCTGTCTCTACTAAAAATATAAAAATTAGCTGGGCATGGTGGTGCATGCCTGTAATCCTAGCTACTCAGGAGGCTGTGGCAGCAGAATCGCTTGAACCCCGGAGGTGGAGGTTGCACTGCGCCATGATTGCGCCACTGCACACCAGCCTGGCGACAGAGCGACACTCTGTCTCAAAAAAAAAAAAAAAACCCACAGATTCTTTTATCTTTCCCAGATCAACTAAGTCAGGGAATTTCTGAAAGGTGGGGCCCAAATGATGCTCCTGCACATCAAAATTCAAGAAGCACAATTTTAGTGTGAGATGCACATATAGGTGTGTGATGGCAAATAATATCCCTTCTTAGGGTTCATGCTTTCATCTCAGCCCCTGGGATCTCCAAGAGCTGAAAAGTAACAGTTGTTAAAGAACGGCATGGCTAAGCTCTAAGAGGATGGATAGAGGTTTTCTATATTTTTTATATATTATATATATACATATATAATATATATAATTTTTCCTTTTTAGTGCAGTAACTGTTATTTCTTTTGTCCCATTTTTAACACTTCCATAAAAGAAATAGCTTTCAGTGAAAGTAAATCACCTAATTTAAGAACATAAAGGCAAATGCCTCACAGTAAAGTACAGATTAAGAGCTATAAAAGCATCTGTGATTTCTACCAAGACATTAAGCTGCCAATTCTGATCTGATGATCAATAAGCAGCCATTCTCATACACAGAGACTCTGTTACCTCCATGCAATGATATCTATGCCCAAAGAACCACATCCTTGGCTCCCAGCAACCACATAGGCTGCTTGTGAATGATCCATGTATTTTTTTTTTTTTTTAATTTTTATTTTTTTGAGACATGGTCTTACTTACCAGGCTAGAATGCAGTGGTGTGATCATAGCTCACTACAGCCTTGAACTCCTGGGCTCAAGCAATCCTCCCACCTGAGTCTCCCAAGTAGCTGGGACTACAAGTGCACACTACCATGCCTAGCTAATTTTTTAAATTTTTTGTAGAGACAGCATCTCACTACATTGCTCAGGCTGGTCTCAAACTCCTGGGCTCAAGCGATTCTCCCATCTTGGCCTGTTAAAGTGCTGAGATTACAAGCATGAACCACCACACACAACCTGAAACTTTTTTTTTAAGGTTGGCTTTTCTTTGCCCACTATCAGTGAAATGAAAGTAACTTGGTCTTTAGGAGTAACATAAGCAAGATCTAAGGATGCCAGAATATGATGAGGCCGTCCAAAGTCAAACGACAGGTTTAATTGTCTGTGCCACTGTTACCCTCCATGGACAGAGATAAGCAGAGCTGATAATCAAGTGCACAGTGCTGCTACCATCAGTCATCTTAAATTCAAACCATTTGCAGCTTTTGCCTATTCTGCTCAAATAAACTTATGTGCTAAAGCAGAGTTGCTAATAAGCAGGAGGTTTAAAATAAGTAAAATAAATGCCATCCACAAAGCCAACTCCAACACCAGCCTGTGCCAAGTTAATATCTAGAAGGCAAAATGCATTTCATATAGTTAAATACATTTCCCTGGGAATTCTTGGGATCACAGGTACTGCTGAGGAAGCAGCCTCAGAAGAAAGCACTGTCTCCTGATGCTCATAGAGATCATTAGACAAAAGGCCAAACAAACAGTAAAGAAAAGATGCCACAAAAATTAAGAAGAGACCCCAGCACAATTCTGTCAAATATCAAAAGGGGTCTATATCTGGGAAGTCTAGAATCCAGCAGCCAACTAAATGAGAGAGTAAGAGAATATGCAATGACCAGAAAAGGATCATCTTGTTTCTAGAATGACTTGTTTCAAGTAAGAAGTACATTCAAAAAGTCTTATCCATAAAACTGATTTCAGTTAACAGAGAGCTCAATTACTCTACTCCTTCCTTATATTTTTTTAATTCTTCTTTCCATTGTCAACATTTCTGTTCCCCGATCCTCTGCCAATCTTTCACCCTTTTCTCCTGCTGCTTTCTGCTCCTTGTTGACTAATGGATGCTCTTGAATTTTTCAACTTCCTGAGTTGAAAGAAATCACCTCTATTAATACTTAATTGGTTCAGTATTAGTTTCATTTTCTAAAATTGTTTTTATTATGTGCTACAACATGAATAAGCCTTAAAAACATTATGCTACGTGAAAAGAAGCTGGACACAAAAGACTACATATCGTATGATTCTGCTTATATAAAAATCCAGAATAGGCAAATGCACAAAGACAGGAAGCAGATTAGTGGCTGTCAGGGGCTACAGGAAGTAGAGGATGGGGAGTGACTGCTAATGAGTACAAAGTTTTATTTTTGGGGTGACAGAAATGTTCTGGAATTCGATAGTGGTGATGGCTGCACAATCTTGTGAATATACTGAAACCCACTGAATTGTAGTCTTTAAGATGGTGAATTTTATATTCTAATATACGTGAATTATATCTCAAGAAAAAATTTTTAAAATTATTTTAATTTAGGGCCTTAGGACTCAACATAAAATTTTTTTTAGCGTGCAGCTGTTAAAAAAAAAAGAGAGAGACCAGCCTGGCCAACATGGTGAAACCCCATCTCTACTAAAAATACAAAAAATTAGCTGAGCATGGTGGCACATGCCTGTAATCCCAGCTAATCGGGAAGCTGAGGCAGGAGAATTGTTTGAACCTAGGAGGTGGAGGTTGCAGTGAGCTGAGATCACACTGTTACACTCCAGCCTGGGCAACAAGAGTGAAACTCTGTCTCAAAAAACAAACAAACAAACAAAAAAAAAAACAACAAAAAAATTTTTTTTAAATGCATAAAGGAGGTGGGGTGCAGTGGCTCACATCTGTAATCCCAGCACTTTGGGAGGTCAAGGCCGGCAGATCACTTGAGGTCAGGAGTTCGAGACCGCCTGGCTAACATGGTGAAACTAAAAATACAAAAAATTAGCTGTTTCTACTAAAAATACAAAAAATTAGCTGGGCGTGGCAGCACACACCTGTAATCCCAGCTACTCGGGAGGCTGAGGCAGGATAATCCCTTGAACCTGGGAGGCAGAGGTTGCAGTGAGCCAAGATTACGCCATCGCACTCCAGCCTGGGCAACAAGAGCAAAACTCAGTCTCAAAAAAAAAAAAGCATAAAAGAGGCCAGGCACAGTGGCTCACACCTGTAACCCCAGGACTTTGGGAGGCCAAGGTGGGAGGACTGCTTGAGCCCAGGAGTTCAAGACCAACTTGGGCAACACAGGGAGAACCAATCTCTACAAAAATTTAAAAAATTAGCCAGGTGTGATGGCATGCACCTGTGATCCTAGCTACTGAGAAGGCTGAGGTGGGAGGATTGCTTGGGCCTGGGAGGTAGAGGTTGTAGTGAGCCACGATTGTGCCACTGCATTCCAGCCTGGGTGTTAAGAGTGAGACGCTGTCTCAAGAAAAAAAAAGCATGAAGACATGTACTACAGTAACAGACTTGCCTGTGGAAAAGCTCTATTCTCAAGATTTGGGTACAGCCTGACTTTGAAATACCAGTTTAGTGTTTTATAAACACAATTTCCACAAAAGAAAGTGTTACGTTCCATTACGTGTCAAGCTCAGTAGAGGTACAATCAATGGAAAGTAAATTTATATAGTTAAGATTCGGTGCTCCTGCTGTTCATGTCTTTTTTTTTTTTTTTCTACAGAAACTTCCTTAATGCAGAGAGTACCAGACTATTACATTTTTTAAGTAAAAGCTACAAAATGGTCTATATTTTCAATGTTGGGATTTAAAAAATAGCATTAAATAGTGTGGAATTTTTTTTTTGACGGAGTCCCGCTCTGTCACCCAGGCTGGAGTGCAGTGGCACGATCTTGGCTCACTGTAAGCTCCGCCTCCTGGGTTCACGCCATTCTCCTGCCTTAGCCTCCAGAGTCACTGGGACTACAGGTGCCCGCCACCATGCCTGGCTAATTTTTTTGTATTTTTAGTAGAGACAGGATTTCATCGTGTTAGCCAGGATGGTCTCGATCTCCCGACCTAGTGATTCGCCTGCCTCAGCCTCCCAAAGTGCTGGGATTACAGGCATGAGCCACTGTGCCCGGCCAGAATTTTTTCAAAAATTGTCCAGAAGACAAGTTACTTGAGTGAAAGCATATCTCCCCTAACCTTTTGTAGGATGGTGCATCTTTTACCCAACCAATGGGCCAGAGTGAGTAGACAGAGCTGTAATGAACACTTAAGAATCGAGACCCAGGCTCGGTGTGGTGGCTCACGCCCATGGTCCCAGCACTTTAGGAGACTAAGGCAGGCAGGTCACTCGAAGCCAGGGGTTCCAGACCAGCCTGGCCAACATGGCGAAAACCCATCTCTACTAAAAATATAAAAAATTAGCCAGGAGTTGCGGCATGCACCTGTAATCCCAGCTACTTGGGTGGCTGAGACATGACAATCATTTGAACCTGACAGGCGGAGGTTGCAGTGAGCTGAAGATTGCTCCACTGTACTCCAGCCTGGGCAACAGAGCAAGACTCTCCAGCCTGGGCAAAAGAGCAAGACTCTGCCTCAAAAAAAAGAAGAAGAAGAAAAAAGAAGACTCAGATAAAGGAACACTCAGTTGTACTGGCAGGAGCATAAATGAAACAGGCTTGGCAAAATTTGTCAAAAGCCTTAACATATGAGTATGCTTCACCCAGTAATTCCACTTCTAGGAATTTATTCTGAAGAATGGTTGGGCAGAAATGCTGAGATACACATAACAAGGATGTTTATCATAACATTGTTCACAATAAAAAAGTTGGAAATAATCAGAATACCTAACAACAGGAGACTGACTGAATAAAATCTATCTGCATATCCATAGGATACAGTATATGGCCTTTCCATACAGTGGAATAGCATACAGCTTTGAAAATGATAATATGATGGTAAATACATTGATTTGTAAGTTATTTTTTGGGTAAAAAAGGGTTATAAGACAGTGTGACCACTCTCCTTTCATACACAAAATGCATTTATATTTGTATAAATATGTACATACTAGGGATGGGTGCCACAATTCATGCCTGTAATCTCAGCACTTTGAGAGGCCAAGATAGGCGGATCACTTGAAGTTGGGAGTTTGAGACAGTCTGGCCAACAAATCGAGACCCCGTCTCTACTAAAAATATAAAAAATTAGCTGGGCGTGGTGACACACACCTGTAATCCCAGCTACTCGGGAGGCTGGGGCACGAGAATCTTTTAAACCCAGGAGGCAGAGGTTGCAGTGAGCTGAGACCATGCCACCCACACTCCAGCCTGGGTGACAGAGCAAGACTCTGGTCTCAAAAAAAAAAAAAAAAAAAAAAGGCAAAAAAAAAGTACATATTAATATTTTTATCTCTACACATAAAGGCTAATACAATGCAAACCAAAAAGTTAATAAATATTTATGGAGATCAAGAAAAAGGAGATAAGAAGTGACTTTGGTTTTTGATTATTAATATTTCCTTTATGTTTCTACATGAATCTGTACATTTATAATCTGAGGAAAAACAAAAAGACTCAAAGAGATTGGTGAGTTTAAATAACCGCATTAGCAGCATCTTGGGAACTGAGGAAAATGGGGACTAGTATTTCTCAGAAGCACTGATGACCTAATTTGGATTATAAAAGTATTTTTAGCTCCATCAAAGGAAAAGTTCTTTAAAGTGGGGACATATTAAAAAAACAAAAACAACAGTTCTGCAGCAGGCAAAGCACAATGATACCTGTTCTGATCATCAGATGATCTTTGGCCCCAAACTGAGCATCTCTCATGCTGTAACTGAGGAAGCTTTCACTTAGCAACTCATACTTCCTTCTCTGTGGGAACTGCGTTTCTCAGGCCTGTTTACTGGTGTAATAACTCTATATCCATACAGTCTGTTCTAGGTCAAAAGGAGCAGAGGTTCTGACAGTGGCAAAAGTGCCATGTGGCATCTAACCAGTGAGAATTAGCAACCATCCATTTCAGAAATGCTATGCTAGTAATTTTTGTATGATGGTTAAGGTGGACTATGCAGCCAGCCACTTAGGATCATCAGTGTAATCTTAGATACATAACCTAACTCATTTACGTTTCCTCATCTGTAGAATGGGAATATTAGGGTTGTTCTGAGGTTAAAATGTGGTAATACTTATAAAGCACTTAGAATGAGTCTCTGGTACACAATAAGCCCTAATAAACGTGAGTTATTGTTAATACTATTAATAACATTAAGGGAGCAACAATGCCATACTTCCTTAATACCAACAACTTACAATTCCTGTCCTCCACTGAACTGTTCTCCTGATAAAATCTGAAACAAACAGGCTTAATATAACTTTTTAATTTCATTTGACCTCATCAATTTCAAGACTAGAAATATTATGGATTAAATTAACATGATAAAGCTAATTTGGATGAACACTTTGAGTTGTTGACTTAGTACTTCTTAAGAAATAAAAGTTTGTGGTGAAACCCCATCTCTACTAAAAAATACAAAAATTAGCCAGGCATGGTGGCGGGTGCCTGTAATCTCAGCTACTCGGGAGGCTGAGGCAGGAGAATCGCTTGAACCTAGCAGGTGGAGGTTGCAGTGAGCTGAGATCGCGCCATTGCACTCCAGCCTGGGTGACAGAACAAGACTCAAAAAATAAGAAAAAAAAAAAAATGTACGTTTCATGAGGCAGGATTAATAGTGCTCTAGACCCCCAGAGCCTAGCATAGTATGGACATAAGAGCACATGGAAGGTGCCCAATATTTCTTGAGTGAACCAAATAAGTAAACACATTTTTAAAAATTATCACATCCAATTCACCATCTCATCACTAGTATTCTATTCTTTTATTGCACCCCAGTTCCTCACCTCTGGAGTAGTATACCTGAAATTTTAGACACTTTTTAAGAAGCAAAATTTTCAAAGGACACAAGGGTGATTTGGTGGAACCAGAACCAAATCTCCATATTCAACTGTGTATGATCAAATAATATGATTGAGAGGGCCACACTTCAAGTGATATAAACAGTTTGAGATGCTCCCCTCTATACTTACCCCCTGGCTCTCCCCACGACATCTTTTTTCTCTAGCCAATGTTGTCCTTGTTTATAGAGGCCTCGGTCATCAACCGCATTATTATCTCCTTTGGTCAAAAACTTGATATGCCCATTTTGCCTTAAAAGAGTAGAGGAAACCCAAGTCATCAAATACCTTCATGGCATTTAAAGCACAAAATCTGTTCTTGTTAACCAAAAATGTTTGTGGCATTGGGCTATCTTATCACCATTCTAGTGCTGAAATAATTATTTATGGAGCTATAAGAATGTTAATAGCTGTGTTGTTTATAAACGACTAAAAGCAAACTAAAGATCCAATATTAAGGAGGTCAAATATTATGTAAGCATTAAAATAATGGTATAGAAGAATATTTAATGACAAGATTGCACAAATGTTATTAAGTGAAGAATACAAAATAGCATGTTCAGTACAATCTCATTTTTATATTAAAATATATACATATTACCAATTTTCTGGAAACACAAAGAGCAAAGGAACACAATAAACTATCTCACAGGATATAATTGGCAAGATACAGACTATGGGAAGCTACAGAATAACCCAGTTTCTCCAACTAAGGACTTGCAAGGAACAAAGAAAGTTCGGGAAGTGACCTACAGATTAAACAACAGACAGCCAGGCTCAGTGGCTCACACCTGTAATCCCAGCACTTTGGGAGGCTGAGGTGGGTGGATCACCTGAGGTCAGGAGTTCAAGACCAGCCTGGCCAACATGGTGAAACCCTGTCTCTACTAAAAATACAAAAATTAGCTGGGCATGGTGGTGGGCGCCTGTAGTCCCAGTTACTCGGGAGGCTGAGGCAGGAGAATAGCTTGACCCGGGAGGCGGAGGTTGCAGTGAGCTAAGATCACGCCACTGCACTCAAGCCTGGGCAACAGAGCGAGACTCCATGCCAAACAAAAAAACAAAAAAAAACAAGAGACTATAAAGCCACATCAACTAATTGCAGCTGAGGACTTTATCTGGATCCAGAAAGTTATGACACAATTGGGGATTTGAACAAATATCAAAAACTTGATGATACTAAAGAATTGTTTGGCCAGGTACAGTGGCTCTCTCCTATAATCCTAGCACTCTGAGAGGCAAAGGTGGGTGGATCACTTGAGCCCAGGAGTTCAAGACCAACCTGGGCAACATGGCAAAGCAAAAAATACAAAAAGTTAGCCGAGCATGATGGTATGCACTTGTGGTCCCAGCTGAAGTGAGAGGATCACCTGACCCTGGGGAGGCTGAGGCTGCAGTGAGCTGTGATCACATCACTGCACTCTAGCCTTGGAGACAGAGTAAGACACTGTCTCAAATAACAAATAATAATAACACAGGAGGGGAAAGAGGTGGGAGTAGAGAAGGAGCAGAATTGACTATATATTAATCATCACTGGGACAGTGATGATAGATACATGGGGGTTCCTTATACTCTTCTGTGCATGTCAGAAACTCCCCAAATTCAGAAAATAAAAGCAAAAAAAAAAAAGGTATTAGACAAGATCTAAAATAATACAGACCAATGTATAAACAGATCAGTGGATCAACAGCGGCTATCTATGGCTTTCTTTAGATTACCTTTATCTTCTTTTTTCTCCAACAAACATGAGTTACTTTTATATTAGGAAAAAATGTTAGCTTTAAAAGAAGAAATACTTCAATTCTTCAGATATGCCACGGTTTACAGGAACAGTATTTTGTTTTTTTGTTTTGTTTTGTTTTGAGACAGAGTCTCACACTATTGCCCAGGCTGGAGTACAATGGCGTGATCTTGGCTCACTGCAACCTCCACCTCCTGGGTTCAAGCGATTCTCCTGCCTCAGCCTCCCAAGTAGCCAGGATTACAGGTGCCCGCCACCACACCCAGCTAATTTTTTGTATTTTTCGTAGAGACAGAGTTTCACCATGTTGGTCAGGCTGGTCTCAAACTCCTGACCTTGTGATCTGCCCACCTCAGCCTCCCAAAGTGCTGAGATTACTGGCATGAACCACTGTGCCTGGCCAGGAATAGCATTTGCTTGATCAGAAAATTATTAGTTTAATTCTACTAAAGAACCATGAAGTTTCTAGTAATTTTAAAATTTAATTGAAAGCAAAGTATATTTTACAGTTGATAAAGCCTAGCTGAAAATTAATTCAAGTGCATTTGGATTGACCACTGCAGTAGAAAGAAGAAAATTAGCTTCAGGTTTCTATGGGCTAATATCCACTTAGATTCTAAGTCAGAAACTGGCTCACTAGATGTTAAATCTGCAGAGGAAACTAATTTGGGAGGTGTTGCAAACACCAAAGATGGTTAAGTGCAAACAGTCACATTAAAAATAAGATTCCAGTTAGAAAAAATGCAAATATATAGAGAAAAATAATCTGTAGCTGACAATTCAATAAGTGAATAAAGGAAAAATTCTGAAGGCTAAAAGAGGACAGGTGCTAGGAGGGGCTCACTGCAAGAGTGAAAGTCAGGAGCAGCAGGAAGGAAAAGTGAATTCAACCCAGAAAACAATACCAACTCCACACATGCAGAAAAGGCAAATCAGATATGAGGAGATAAAACCCAGGAAATGGGGAACTCCCCAGAAAAAGGAAAGGGTGCTAGAGAGATCTAGACTACTCCCAAAGACTTGATTTGCTGGCAAAACAAACAAACAAATACATTAACACACCCAATTTCCCCTTCTGGGATGTAATCAGGAGACACCACTATAGCTTTTTTTAAAAAGCGTAGATATCCTTCATCTACTTAGTGGTGAAAAAAATATTCTCTGGTGGCAACCAGCTCTTATTAGACTTATTTTTAATTTTTTTGAGATGGAGTTTCACTCTTGTCACCCAGGCTGGAATGCAACGGCGCAATCTTGGGCTCACTGCAACCTCTGCCTCCCAAGCAGTGGGGATTAAAGGCGTGCACCACCACACCCAGTTAATTTTTATATTATTAGTAGAGACAGGGTTTCACCATGTTGGTCAGGCTGGTCTGGAACTCCTGACCTCAGGTGATCTGCCCTCCTCGGCCTCCCAAAGTGCTGGGATTACAGGCGTGACCCACTGCACCTGATCTTACTAGACATATTAAGTCCTACTCCAGCATTTCACAAGTCATAGGCTCAAAATACTGAGTGAAGGTATATTTACATAGGATTTTTCCCTTGCTGGAACAAGGACCAAATATTTAATATTATCTACTTCTAGGGAGATCAAAGAGTTTAGAAGTTAATTCACCCATCACAATACTGTGAAATTAGGAAGAAGGAAATACCACTTTATAGATGAGAAAAAATAAGACCCCAAAAGCTAAATGGGTACAGAATAATGTATCCATCTGCATGGGAAAAGCAAAGCTAAGGATTAAGTCACCCAATGGTAAAATTTCTCTTTCCAAATACGTAATCACATGCCAGTGTTCAATATCATCCAATTATAATATTTCCTGATATGGTTTGGCTGTGTCCCTACCCAAATCTCATCTTGAACTGGAGTTCCCATAATTACCATGTGTCATGGGAGGGACCCAGTGGGAGGTAATTGAGTCATGGGGGCAGGTCTTTCCCAAGCTGTTCTCGTGATAGTGAATAAGTCTCATGAGATCTGATGGTTTTATAAATGGGAGTTCCCCTGCACATGCTATCTTGCCTGCCGACATGTAGACATGCCTTTGCTGCTTCTTTGCCTTCTGATTGTGAGGCCTCCCCAGCCATGTGGAACTGTGAGTCCATTAAACCTCTTTCCTTTATAAATTACCCAGTGTCACGTATGTCTTTATTAGCAGCATGAGAACAGACTAATACACCTCCTATAGGATGAACTTACTAACTACATACATTTTGAATATTATTTGTCCCCATATTTAAGAGCAACGTTAATACTATTAAACCAAATGGGGCTGGGTGTGGTGGCTCACGCCTGTAATCCCAGCACTTTGGGAGGCATAGGTGGGTGAATCATTTGAGGTCAGGAGTTCAAGACCAGTCTGGCCAGCATGGTGAAACCCTGCCTCAACTAAAAATACAAAAATTAGCTGGGCATGGTGGCAGGCGCCTGCAGTCCCAGCTACTCCAGAGGCTGAGGCAGGAGAATTGCTTGAACCCAGGAGGCAGATGTTGCAGTGAGCCAAAATCGCACCATGCACTCCAGCCTGGGTGAAAGAGCGAGACTCCGTCTCAAAAAAAAAAAACACAAATGGTAACTCCGACCAGGTATTTCAGTCTCCCCAAAAGAAAAAAGAAAATTGAAATTTTCTGAATATTAATATCTACACAGGCCTGCAAGTTGAAGGTATCTCAAGAGTCTGAAATAAATCACCAAAAACCCCAGATTATAAGTACCATATTTAAAATCATCAGAATTCTTACACAATTATTTTAAAAATTTAAGGATTTTCCAATTAAAAATTATCTGTCTATGAATCTGCCCAGAAACAGTTTTAAACTGAAGTCTATGACTCATTCAATTTCTTTTTCTTTTTTCTTTTTTTGAGATAGAGTCTCACTCTGTTGCCCAGGATAGAATAAAGTGGCATGATCTCGGCTCACTGCAGCCTCAACCTCCTGGGCTCAAGTGATCCTCCTACCTCAGCCTCCTGAGCAGCTGGGACTACAAGTGCACACCACCGTGCGTGACTAATTTTTTTTTTTTATATTTGTAGAAACAGGGTTTCACCATCTGGTCTAGATGCCCAGGCTGGTCTAGTGCTCCTGTGCTCAAGCACTCCACCCGCCTCAGCCTCCCAAAGGGCTCGGATTACAGGCATGAGTCACCACGCCCAGGCAAACTCACTCAATTTCAAATAATCATAAATAAAAATGGAGAAATTTTCCTCCAGCTTAAACAAGGCCTGAGCTCAGTTTGATTCTCTCTGATATATTTAGGGGAAAGTTGGTTCAGCTTTGTTCATAACAGGCATTGCTGAGAATGAACAACACAAATCCACTTTGAGAATCTGGAAAACACTATCTGCACTGAATAAACCTCTATAATTCCAAAATAAATTTCTTTTTTTTTTTTTTTGAGATAGAGTCTCACTCTGTCACTCAGGTTAGAATGCAGTGGCGTGATCTCAGCTCACTGCAACCTTAGCCTCCCAGGTTCAAGTGATTCTCCTGCCTCAGCCTCCTGAGTAGCTGGGATTACAGGTGCCCACCACCACGCCTGGCTAATTTTTGTACTTTTAGTAGAGATGGGTTTCACCATTTTGGCCAGGCAGGTCTTGAACTCCTGACCTCAGGTGATCTGCCCGCCTCAGCCTCCCAAAGTGCTGGGATTACAGGCACAAGCCACCGCTCCTGGCCCCACAAAAACGTCTAAAAATTTAAGTTATTCCTTCTCAGTCAATAATATAATGTCACTTTAAATTATAGTATTTTCACATACATACTGACATCGGATTTTATTAAAAAAAAAAAAGCTGTCACATCTTTATTTCACCAATGAAGAAAGAACTCTTCTAAACTAGAATGTTTACGGGAATTTCAAAAACCAATGGTTGACAGTTCCTTCTTCTTTAAGCAGAGGAAAAAAAACAATTTTATAGGATGGTAAAAATAAGATAGTTTTTACAGAGAGCTTTTGCATATTCAAGAACTAAAATCCACCAGGTGCAGTGGCTCATGCCTGTAATCCCAGCACTTTGGGAGGTCAAGGCAGGTGGATCACTTGAGGCCAGGGGTTTGAGACCAGTCTGGCCAACATGGTGAAACCCTGTCTCTACTAAAAATACAAAAATGAGCTGGGCATGGTGGCACATGCCTGTAATCCCAGCTACTCAGGAGGCTGAGGCACGAGAATCGCTTGAGCCCAGGAGGCGGAGGTTGCACTGAGCCGAGATAGCACCATTGCTTTCCAGCCTGGGTAACAGAGGGAAACTGTCTCAAAAAAAAAACAAAAAACAAAAAAAAAGAACCTAAATCACGCCTACTCTTTCACTTCTCGTCTGTGTGTCATCCAGAATGCCTCCCTTTTCTTTCATTTCTTTGTTTTCTTTTATGAGACAGGGTGGAGTGCAATGGCACAAACACGACTTACTGCAGCCTCAAACTCCTGGACTCACACAGTTCTCCTACCTCAGTCCTCCAATTAACTGGGACTACAGGCACATGCCACTACGCCCAGCTATTTATTTATTTATTTATTTATTTATTTATTTATTTATTGAGACGGAGTCTGGCTAATTTTTATATTTTAGTAGAGACAAGGGTTTCACCATGTTAGCCAGGCTGGTTTCAAACTCCTCACCTCAGGTGATCCACCCACCTCGGCCTCCCAAAGTGCGGGGATTACAGGCGTGAGCTACTGTGCCTGGCTTTTTTTGTTTTGTTTTATCAGAGAAGGAATCTCACCATGTTGCCCAGGCTGATCTCAAACTCCTGGGCTCAAGCCATTCTCTCACCTTGGCCTCCCAAAGTACTGGGATTGTAGGCAAAGTCACTGTGCCCAACCAGAAGATTATATTTAGTATCTATCTTTATGTCATAGTTTTTTGGAATTATATACAGAGTCACTGACAGGTTGGGAAGTAAAAGGGAACCAGGAAAAACCTTCAGGGAAAAATATGAACCAATAAATAATTATTTACAGTTTTCAAAATGTTCACTAAACTTTTAAATGGACTGGAAGAGGGCCTAGAGGTTCCTCACTCTTTCATAGTCTTTAGGCTATCAAAACTAAATACCACAAACACTTAAACAAAAGCAGTTAGAAACAAAGATGATATACTTTGCACATACTTTTCATGAATCTTCAAGACTCGGTGAACTATAGGAATCTCTCTTCCTTCTATCCTAAAAACAACAATTTCTCCCACTCGTATGGGATCTTCAACTCGATTTGTTAGAAACAGAAGATCTCCTCTATGAAATGCAGGTTCCATGCTGCCACTAGGAGGGAAAGAAGAATATAATAGCAAAAAGAAAGTATGAGATTAAACGTACTTTCCAAATTAGATATTCAACAAAATAAAAAATATCACTTCCGGAGTATACTCAATACTTTAACAACTATATCAACAGAAATGTGTATTGTTCTCAAAATATGGTTTCCTCAGACTAATAAGTTACGACAAAGGATTTTGTTTTAGTTATTAACCTTCACTGACTAGTTCCATTTCAAGTATTACTATTCAAAGAAGCTTAAATCTTGAAAAGGTCAGTGTTACTAATTCCTTAACCTTTTAAAATTTCAAATGACAAACAGAATATAAAAGAATGAACTTTAAAACAATGCCCTTATTCTCACTTCATCTGAAAACACTAAACATATTCAAACATGCAAATTAGAACTGGATCATCTTCCTCTGCCATTTATAAAGATAACAGCCAAGATGACCTTACAGGTTCAACTCATTTAGAAGGAAAAATGGCTCATCAAGTCAAAGAACTGTCAGCCACAGAGATAATGCTTGTGTTATCAATTTACTTATTTTAAAAAGAGAGAAAAAAAAAACAAGGATTAAGCAGAGATTTTTGCCTAAGAATTTCAGAAGCCAGGAAAAGATTCAATTCTATGGTAATAAGTAAGACTAACTTCTACAGAGTATCTTCTTACCTCTTACCTCTTCCATCCTACACCAAGTCCTAAAAAGGTCCTAAGATATTTGTACTAATTTATGAACTCCTTTTTATCTAACAAGAAGTAGCCCATCAGTATTTTTCAGAAACTCAAGCTCCAGTTTTCTATAACAACAGCTTAAGTAACAATAGAAAGACAAGAAATAAAGTTCAATGCGGGAATAAGTACAAACTCCAAGCACTTTTGTTTAAAGACTCTCATCCCTCTATGTAAAGGGATATAGCAATGGGTCTCAAACTTTGCTGCACATTGGAATGACCTGAGGAACTTTTAAAAAATCTCGGCCAGGTGCAGTGGCTCACACCTGTAATTCCAGCACTTCGGGAGGTCGAGGTGGGCAGGTCACCTGAGGTCAGGAGTTCGAGACCAGCCTGGCCAACACAGTGAAACCCAGTCTCAACTAAAAATACAAAAATTAGCTGAGTATGGTGGCGCACACCTGTAATCCCAGCTACTCAGGAAGCTGACGCAGGAGAATCACTTAAACCCAGGAGGCGGAGGTTGCAGTGGGCTGAGATTGTGCCATTGTACTCCAGCCTGAGCAATAGAGTGAGACTCTGTTTCAAAATTAAAAAAAAGAAAAAAGAAAGAAGGAGGAGGAGGAGGAGGAGGAGGAAGAAGAAGAAGAAAGAAGGGAGGAGAAGGGAGAAGGAGAAGAGAGAAGGAGAAGAGAGAAGGAGGAGAAGGAGAAGAAGAAGAAGAAGCAGGAGAAGAAAAAGACGAAGAAGAAGAAGGAGAAGGAGAAGAAGGAGAAGGAGAAGAAGGAGGAGAAGGAGGAGAAGAAGGAGAAGGAGAAACTGGGGACCAGGCACCATGGTTCAAGCCTATCATCCCAGCACTTGGGAGGTTGAGGTGGGAGGATCACTTGAGATCAGGAGTTCAAGACTCGGTCTCTATAAAAAATAAAAATTAGCCAGGTGTGATGGCACACTCCAGTCTGGGCGATGGAGGGAGGCCCTGTGTTAAATGTTCTTATCACAAAAAAATAGAAAGGGGGGAAACATTTGAAAGTGATGAATATATTCACTTCCATGATTGTGGTAATGGTTTCACAGGAATATACTTACCTGCAAATTAATCAAGGTGTATACATTAAATATGTACAGCTTTTTGTATGTCAATCATATCTCAATAATTTGGTTAAAAAGGAGTAATCTAAGTACTATTACTTAGAGTCTAGATAATGTTAATGTACTATTACTTCAATTCTAGATAATATTAATAATTCAATTTATTTTAAATCTGCAGTCCATTATCTCCAGAAAGGATTTGGGCTTACAAAATTAAGCCCAAAATCTGACAAAACTATAATGTTTCTTTTCTTTTCTTTTTTTTTTTTTTGAGACGGAGTTTCGCTCGTCGCCCAGGCTGGAGTGCAATGGAGCGATATCTGCTCACTGCAACCTCCGCCTCCTAGGTTCAAGCGATTCTCCTGCCTCAGCCTCCTGAGTAGCTGGGACTACAGGCGCCTGCCACCACACCTGGCTAATTTTTGTATTTTTAGTAGAGACGGGGTTTCAACATGCTGGCCTCGAACTCCTGGTCTCGAACTCCTGGCCTCAAGTGATCTGTCTGCCTCAGCCTCCCAAAGTGCTGGGATTACAGGCATGGGCCACCACATCCAGCCTGTAATGTTTCAATTAAACAACCAAGTGGTAATTCTCTAAAAACGAGTTACTAAATTAGGTTTTAAAATCATTAAGAGTGGCTGGGCATGGTGACTCATGCTTATAATCCCAGCATGTTGGGAGGCCAAGGTGGGAGGATTGCTTGAACCGAGGAGATCAAGACCAGACTGGGCAACACAGTGAGATCCTATTTGATATGGTTTGGCTGTGTCCCCACCCAAATCTCATCTTGAATTCCCACGTGTTGTGGGAGGGACCTGGTAGGAGGTAATTGAATCATGGGGCGGGTTTTTCCTGTGCTGTTCTGGTGATAGTGAATAAGTCTCATGAGATCTGATGGTTTTAAAAAGGGGAGTTCCACTGCAAAAGCTCTCTTCTCTTGTCTGCTGCCATGAGACGTGCCTTTCACCTTCTGCCATGTCCCCAGTCACGTGGAACTGTAAGTCCATTAAACCTCTGTCTTTTGTAAATTGCCCAGTCTTGGGTATGTCTTTATCAGCAGCATGAAAATGGACTAATACACTGTTTCTACAAAAAAATTAAAAAATTAACCAGGTGTGGTGGAGCAGGCCTGCAGTCCCAGCTGCTGGGGAGGCTAAAATGGAAGGATCCTTTGAGACCGGTAGGTGGAGTCTGCTATGAGTTATGATGGCGCCACTGCACTCTATCCTGGGTAAACAGAGCGAGACCCCATCTTTAAAAAAAAAATTCACTAAGAGTATGAGTGCAAAGATAGGGAAGGAAGCGGAGTGGATAAAAAAAATTCAATACTATTTGTTACCATAAGAGATGGTATTAATGCCTTCAAAATTCCTGGAGTCTAGTTTAGAAGTGATATTTAAAGGTCAGCAGGAAACTTGGAAATAATTAGTGATTCTTCTATACTGACACTGAGAACATGCTACAGAAAAACTCTTTAATTTGTGGAAGTACTATAACATCTAATGAAGTAACAACTAAATATCAGGCCTGGTGTATCAAAGTGAGGAATATAAAAAGACAGAACAATATCAGGAAAATAAAGTACAATGAGACACTTTCTTAAGGGATGTGACAAAAAGAAACCTTACATGGTAACCTTTTTGTAGAACAGTCATGAGCCCTTTGGGGTTCTGAATGGAAATGCCTAACAAAGTGAAAATTTCTTTTCTATCTCTTTTTTTTTTTTGGAGACAGGGTCTCGCTCTGTCGCCCAGGCTGGAGTGCAGTGCTGCAATCACAACTCATTGCAGGCCTCAAGCTCCAGGGCTTAGGCGATCCTCCCACTTCAGCCTCCCAAGTAGCTGAGACTACAGGTGCATGCCACCACACCCACTAATTTTTGTATTGTTTGTGGAGACAGGGTTTCACCACATTGCCCAAGCTAGTCTCAAATTCCTGAGCTCAAGCAATCTGCCTGCCTCAGCCTCCCAAATTGCTGGGATTACAGGCATAAGCCACCGCGCCCAGCCTGAGAATTTCTTACAATTGAGAAGTAGTGACTAATTTTCTTCCAGGCCCTTTTCTGGAAAACAGTAGTTTCTAAGGGAATGATATACCAGTTATTTCATATCTCAATTTTTCTCCCAAGTAATGCCATGCAATTCCATGCCTTGAAAGGAAAAACTGTTACCTGAGCACCACTACAATTGGACTTTCACTTCCAGTTATTACCATTAACCCCTTCCAGATCATTAGTGCTGATGAGACAATCATTCCAAAATTTAGGACTTGATAATAGAGCTGCAAGAACAAAAGAGAAGAGATCAGATCCACCATTATACCCACTTTGGAAAGCAATTGAGAGCGGTAACAATTTGAAAGTTTCAAGCAGTACTATTAGGACAACTACAGTTCTGAGACATTCTTTAATATACTATAATAATTATGCCATCAGCATATCAAAACAGGCCCCCCTTCTTTCGCCAAAGCACCCTGCTCCATTTTGTTTGGTAAAACATCAGTTACATTTATATAACACCATATTATTTTAAGAACCTTTCACAAAAGTTATTTCATTTGGGCTCCATAAACATTCAGCTTAAATTCAATCATACCCATGCTACTTACCAGCCAACAGTAATCTGTCTCTGCTTCTGAACTCCTCTATTACTTTACTTTTCTTTTTTTTTTTGGAGCCTCGCTCTCGCTCTGTCACCCAGGCTGGTGTGCAGTGGTGCCATCTCAGCTCACTGCAACCTCCGTCTCCTGGGTTCAGGAAATTCTCCTGCCTCATCCTCCCAAGTGGCTGGGACTACATGCATGCACCATCACGCCCAGCTAATTTTTTTGTATTTTCAGTAGAAACGGGGTTTCACCATGTTGGTCAGGTTGATCTTGAACTCTTAACCTCAAATGATCTGCTCACCTCCGCCTCCTAAAGTGCTGGGATTACAGGCATGAGTCACCACGCCCGGCCCTCTATTACTTTTCTACCATATTTATCCCTTGATAATCATGGGAATAGTCAATGACATTTAACTCTACCTTCTCATTTTACAGTTAAGGAAACTGTCTCATAAAGAGGAGACTTCACCAAGTCCTATAGTTTATCAGTCACATAGTCAAGACTTGAAGGTCAGCTTTCTTACTAAATCTCTAGTACTCCACAAATTCTAAAATTCTGTGACTTGAATAATCAGATAAAACATCAGAAGGCATTTCAATTTCAAATAAAGAAAATTCAGAACATATGGAAAAAGGCAAAAAATATTACCAAATCAGATAAGAGAAATAATGTGAGCTAACTGTTTTGGGCCAAGGCTGGAAAAAGTATAGAGAGGATGACTAGACACCAAGGCAAATAGTTCAAAAGGAAAAAGCTGGTACTGGAAAGTACTGGGAGAGATCTGAAAAAGCATATTAAGGTCCAACTATGAAGAAACTTAAACGCAGGACTGAACCTGTGGATCTAACAAAACATTAGTAATATAAAGTGAAAAAACAAAAGTTTCAAAAGGTCTTACTCTGTCGCCCAGGCTGGAGTATAGTGGCACAATCACAGCTCACTGCAGCCTCCAACTCCTGGGCTCAAGCAACCCTCCTACCTCAGCCTCCTGAGTAGCCAGATGTGGTAATTTTTGTATGTTTTGTAGGGAAGAGGTTTCGCCATATTGCCCAGGCTGATCTTGAACTCCTGGGCTCAAGCAATCCGCCTACCTCAGCCTCCCAAAGGGCTAGGATTACAGGTGTGAGTCACCATGCCTGGTCACTTTTGATAAGATTTGCTTGTGGACATTCTACACAACTGTCCTAGTCTCTTCAAAAATCCAATGTCATTCAATGTCATGGAAAAAAAGGTGGAAGACTGTTCTAGATTAAAAAGGACTAAAGAGATATAACAACCAAATATAATGCACAAACTTTGGTTTCTTTGTTGTTTTTTTCTTCCTTCTCATTCAGTTCTAATAATACACAAACTTTGGCTGGATCTTGGTTCAAAAAAAAAAAAAAAAAAAAGCGTAAGAAAAAATCTGAACTATAAAAGACATTTTGGGGTGAATTGGGGAAACTCAAAATATGATTTGAATATTAAATGACACTAGGAAATTCATGTTAATTTTCTTTTTTCTCTTTTCTTTCTTTTTTTTTTTTTTTTGAGACAGGGTCTTGCTCTATCACACACGCTGCAGTGCAGTGACATGATCTCAGCTCCCAAGTTCCTCTGCTCCCAAGTTCAAGTGATTCTCATGCCACAGTCTCCCAAGTAGCTGGGATTACAATGGGCATGCATCATCACACCTGGCTAATTTTTGTATTTCTAGTAGAGACGGGGTTTCACCATGCTGGCCAGACTGGTCTCAAACTCCTGTCTTCAAGCAATCCACCCACCTTGACCTCCCAAAGTGCTGGCTGGGACTACAGATGTGAGCCACTGCACCCAGCCTCTAATTTTCTTAAATTATGTGATAAATTATGTGATAATGGTGTTGTGGTTATGTAGAACACTGTCCTTATCATAAGAGATGCATATTAGTAGTAGTTGGCTAGTAGTTGTAGTTAGGGGTGAATTGTCATTATCTGCAACTCATTTCCAATTGATTCAGCAAAAAAAAAATTCTATATGTGCACACAAAGTATACATAGAACACATATGGCAAAAATGCTAATAATTGTTGGATCTGTGTGACAGATTACAGGTGTTCCCTGTACTTTCTTTCAATTTTTCTGAAAAACTCCAAAAAATGCGTAGAAAAAAATGGAAGAAGCCAGGTGCAGTGGCTCACGTCTGTAATCCCAGCAATTTGGGAGGCTGAGGTGGGTGGATCACTTGAGGCCAGAAGTAGGAGACCAGCCTGGCTAACATGGCGAAACCCATCTCTACTAAAAACACAAAAATTAGCTGGGTGTGGTGGGACATGCCTGTAATCCCAGCTACTTAAGAGGCTGAGGCACAAGAATTGCTTGAACCCAGGAGGTGGGGGTAAGCTGAGATCGCACCATTGCACTCCAGCCTGGGCAACTGAGCAAGACTCTGTCTCAAAAAAATAATAATAATAAAAAGGAAGAAAATAAAATAAATGTTAGTTGTTATATTTGGGGGTGTAATACTAGGCAATTCTTATTTATTTCATTTTGATCATCTACATTTTCTGCTTCTTCCCTTTTTAAACCAATTGTAATTTTTATCAAAACACTATACACACATACATACAAGAATATGTAAAAAAAGCAATATCCTAGCCATGGCAGGCCACCATTTTCATCTCTTCTAGCCATTTATTCTGGTATTTACCCCAACCATTCTAAAAACTAATTGTTTGTTTACTTTCATACTAGGATGTTAATGCATGACGTTCAAAATGTACAACAAGGGACTAGGCACAGAGACTCATGCCTGTAATCCCAACACTTTGGGAGGCCGAGGTGGGAGGATCACTTGAGCCTAGGAGTTTGAGACCAGAAAGCAAGACCTTAATCTCTACAAAAAAGTACAAAAAAGGCCAGGCGCAGTGGCTCACGCCTGTAATCCCAGCACTTTTAGAGGCCGAGGTCACTTTTAGAGATCACGAGATCAGGAGTTCAAGACCAGTCTGGTCAACATGGTGAAACCCCATCACTACTAAAAATACAAAAATTAGCCAGGCGCAGTGGCACGTGCCTGTAATCCCAGTTACTTGGGAGGCTGAGGCAGAAGAATTGCTTGAACTGGGAAGTGGAGGTTGCAGTGAGCCAAGACTGCACCATTGCATTCCAGCCTGGGCGACAGAGCAAGACTCCGCGTTAAAAAAAAAAAGAAGGTGGTACAGGAAAACTTAGAACATTAAACAGAGATGTGGATAATTTAAAAAAAAAAAAAAACTCAGAGGCTGGGCTCGGTGGCTTATGCATGTAATCCCAGCACTTTGGGAGGCCAAGGCGAGCAGATGTCCTTGAACTCCTGAGGTTAGGAGCTCAAGACTAGCCTGACCAACATGGAAAAACCCCCCATCTCTACTAAAAATACCAAATTAGCTGGGCTTGGTGGCACATGCCTGTAATCCTAGATACTTGGGAGGCTGAGGCAGGAGAATCACTTGAACCTGGGAGAAGGAGGTTGCAGTGGGCCGAGATCCCACCATTGCACTCCAGCCTGGGCAACAAGGGTGAAACTCCATCAGAAAGAAAAGAAAGGAAAGAAAGACAGAAAGAAAGACAGAAAGGAAGGAAGGAAGGAAGGAAGGAAGGAAGGAAGGAAGGAAGGAAGGAAGGAAGGAAGGAAGGGAGGGAAAGAAAGAAAAGAAAGAAAGAAAAGAAAAGAAAAGAAAAGAAAAGAAAAGAAAAGAAAAGAAAAGAAAAGAAAAGAAAAGAAAAGAAAGAAAGAAAGAAAGAAAGAGATAGATTAGCTGGGTGTGGTGGCGCATGCCTGTAGTCCCAGCTCCTTGGAGGCTGAGGCAGAAGAATCACTTGAACCCAGGAGGTAGAGGCTGCAGTGAGCTATGATTGTCCCACTGCATTCTGGCCCAGGTGCCAGAGCAAGACTGTGTCTCAAAAAATAAACACAATTGTGATGAGGAATCCAGCTCTCTTGTACCATTTTCTATTTTCTCCCTACAATTATTGACCTGTTTTTCCTGCATACTTTATAAAAACATTTCAAGTTTCATATTCTTTTTTTTTTTTTTTTTTTGAGACGGAGTCTTGCTCTGTAGCCCGGGCTGGACTGCAGTGGCCGGATCTCAGCTCACTGCAAGCTTCGCCTCCCGGGTTTATGCCATTCTCCTGCCTCAGCCTCCGGAGTAGCTGGGACTACAGGCGCCCGCCACCTCGCCCGGCTAGTTTTTTGTATTTTTAGTAGAGACGGGGTTTCACCGTGTTAGCCAGGATGGTCTCGATCTCCTGACCTCGTGATCCGCCCGTCTCAGCCTCCCAAAGTGCTGGGATTACAGGCTTGAGCCACCGCGCCCGGCCAAGTTTCATATTCTTATAAATGCAAAGTTAATCTCGGAACAGACAGACAAGAAACTGGGGAAGAGGAACCAGGAGTCAAGGTGGAAGGAAAAGATGTTCTGATACACATACTTCACGTTTTTACCATTTTTAGTATATGCAAGTATCACCTGTTCAAAACTAAACTGTTTAGGTTTATTTTTTTAAGTCCATGCTAATGGCCAGAACACTATATTTCAAGCATTCCAACGAAGCATGGTGTACTCAATCAATGTGATTAAACAATTTCCACAAAAGGAAATCTGAACATTTTCTCAGAGACACTTAGATATTTGCTATTCTTTTGAGCAATGGAGTGATGTGAGCACGTGGGT